CGAGATCTCCAGAGCCCATGGACCGGACCGGACCGGACAAGTATCAAGATTCGGCGATCTGATTTGTCCTTGCTAAAGCCCGACGATTAACCGCTCACTGACTCTGCTCCGGATCTGACGGATCCGCGGATCCGAGCCCATTTGGTACATTCACAATGGCACCAGGCGCGCAGAAAAACGCGTGTCTTTCATGTCGCCAGAGAAAGCTCAAATGCGATCGTAAGCAGCCATGCGCGAATTGCATCGCTCGGGCGGTTGAGTGCACCGAACAAGACCTGCCTCCTAACCGAGCAGTGAAAAGACCATTACCTCAAGAGTCAGACTCTTCAGCACTGTCGAACATACTCTCGAGGCTAGACCAGATCCAAGATTACCTCAAACCTAGCAAGAGAGCAAAGCATGTCTCTATCTCGACCCCGATTGGCGACCAGCTGAACGCCATTCGCTTTGACGTGCCCAGTGTCTCGCAGTCACAAGAACCCGCATCCAATGACGCTCCAGAGTTGATGCCTCCCGAAGATCAAATGCAGGCCACCAAATACTCGGTCAATGATGGTTTCTTGGTAAGTTCTATAATGGCCATTCTGCACAATTCTCTATCTTAACACCCGCAAGTATCGCGCACTCACGCACGAACTTTATATATCGATCTCAGCAGACTACAAATCTCAGAAAACAATTGAGCCTCGTCACATACAGCTTCCACCCAAATGGGAGACAATGCGCCTCTTTCAAGTATACTTCAAATACTTGGGCCATGTCCAGAACATCATCTACGAGCCCCACACACGCACTCTTGTAAATGAGGCATATGACCAGATTGTCAACATCTCTGCAACGACTGCGCCTCGAGGACTTGCCCTGATATTGTCAGTCATAGCACTGGCGACAATCCTTGAGCCTGTGGATGGTGACTTGGCTACAGCTATTCCAATACTCAAGGAAAGGCTTGGGGTATTTGCCGCCTACATTCGAATGGCGATGGACTGCCTTGAGCAACATCGTCGACGAGCTGATCACACTATCGAGAATGTCCAGGCATTGGTTCTTCTCAGCTTTGGTATCCATCATACGGAAACCTTCTCTCCTCGGTATCGTGTCTTGCTCGCTGAAGCTATCGCTGTTTCTCATAGCCTTGGGCTCCATGTTGTGGATCGGGTATCTGCTAGACGTGGTCATTCCAAGGTTGATGCGGACCCAACAGCACAAGAGATAAAGAGAAGAGTTTGGTGGTATCTCGTGGCCACTGACTGGGCATCCTCAAAGGCAGAAGGTGAATATTTGTAATTGAGATCGAGTTGACATGCTGACTTGTCACGCCCAGGAACGTCTGGAGCTACCTACCTCATCCAGCCAAATCTCATCAGTACCAACCTTCCGAGACATATTGATGATGTCGACCTCAGTAACTCTAATCACAAGGAGCGGCCTCTCTCAGAACCAAGCACTATGTCTTACAACCTCCAACGCATCAAGGTTGCCGAGGTCGTTCGCTGCATTTCCGATCTGATGCCGCACGATCCAAGCGAAGCATCATGTGAGTTGTTATTGTCACTCGATGCGAAGCTAGATTCAGTATTGCGCGAGCTTCCAAATTTCTTCAGGACTGAGCTGGCTGATTCTGAAGAAACTAAGCAGATTGATAATGCATATCCTCATATTCCGATGCAGCGACTCTTGATCAACCTTCTCATCAACATATTCCGTTGTGGACTACATTTTCCTTATCTTCCTGGACGTGTCAACAAGTCTCTACATGCATTCTCACGCCAGGCTAGTCTAAAGGCTGCTCGAGCTGTTCTTTCTTCGCAGCGAGGCATGACCATGAAAGATATGTTACACGCTGCCGATTTCATGAAGATCCAGGGCACCATTTTCCACATGTTTATCGGGGCACTTGTTCTTACAACTGATATCTGCTGCAACCAGGATGGCCAGACACAAGTATCTGAGCTAATCGAGGTTCTGAAGAAGCTGGACAGTATCAAAGATCACTCCAAGATGGCTGCCAAGTTACTAGATATCTTAACGCAATTGCTAGTCTCGTATGGAGTCTGGTCACCATCGACGACTATCTCTACATATACTCAAGATGAAGCACCACTTGACCTCGGTCTATCGGGATCTAAGTACCTAAGGCTAGATGGCCTTGATATGCCCTTACCTTTTGATGAGCTGTGGGAGACATACATTGAGCAGCCTGGTGGCTTGGATATGCTAGATATTTTGGAGGCCTAAGAAAGAGATTACCCGGTAGGGTGAGAATGCTTTGCCCCCGCTACCCAAGAACGCATCGCATATCTTGAGTGGTTGATGAAGGACATACAATACAGTACTAGAAGTGCGGAGCATTTTAGCAGTGATATCAGAATTTAGCTGAATCACTTTTCCTCTATGGAGTCACATTAAGTCATTGCTTGCATTTATTGATAGGTGTGCAGGCCGTTAATCTGGCACTTGATCTCGATGGATTACTTACGACTTTAAGTCCTACAGCTAAGTCTTCTAACTGCTTAGGTTTCTATACTTTTAGGCGTCGTTACTTTATATAAGAAAGATAGTGTCACTCTAAAAGATCTTTTACACTTGTGATAAGCTTTTGACTTAAATCTAGATAGTAATAATACTCTTACTTCATACAAGGACTTTGCTTGTCAAACACCATCCCTATGTTCAATAAATCTACAGTACATAGGTGCTGTCCAGCGCCGAGCCGACTTGCCCCAATATTGCATAGGAGCGGTTGTCATAAAGAAGGCAAAAGACAGCAAACCAATGATAGTGAATACCCAGGTAAGAGATTGGCTGTCCATCCAGATACTCGCGCAGAAGGTGAATATAAGGGCGATGCTATTGTTGATCACAGCCACACCTACCATTCCCTCCAAAATCATATCCGGGTAGCAGTCAGCCAGGTAGCTCATACCTTAATATTCTGGTTAGGACAGGACATCGTAACTGTATCAGAAGGGAGGTGTCACATACCAATATCTCCTGCGCATCCCCAACCGAAACCTATGAAGCCAAGACCGATATAAGCCCCCCAAAGCTCAGGGAAAAGCCAGCCTTTGTCAGATCCAATGCCAAAAACAATAAGACCAACAGGGTTAATTATGGCTGCCGGATACATGAGCCATAGTCGGTCTTCAGCTTCGCTTATGTTACCTCGACGCCGTGCCATCCATTCAACGAATTTATCCGAGAACCAACCTCCATAGAAGCAGCCAATAACAGCACCAATCAGGGTAGGTATGTTCATCAATGCCACTGAGGTATCGCCGTAGTTCCATGGGGCATCGTAATAGTTATCCTCCTCAACAGTAAGGTAAAATGTCAGCCACGCATCTTGTGCACCCCATTGCAGCCCAGCATAGAGAACAGCAGGGAAGCTAAAGACTCGGAATGTTCCAAGAAGTGAGGAGAAGTATTGCTTGAAACCAAGGCCTATGAGTGTAGGCGACGGCGTCACTATTGCGATCCGCTGCCAGTATGTCTTGGGTTTGTCCTCAAACGAGCTCACCTGCTCACCCGTTTCTGATGCATGGTCACTTCCAAAGTTGACTTTTTGCATCTTGGGAGCTTCTGTATTGGCGTTGGATAGGTGAACACCGTCGAGAACTGCTCTGCGACAGAAAGTTGTCTCCTCGAAGCCAAATAGGAAGACAACAAAGGTTGCCACGCTGATGATGACTGCTAACCAGCCAATCCAGCTCCAGCCAAGATCACTATCGGTGATAAGTCCAGCAAACAACGGACCAAGAAAAGTTCCAACACTGGTGGCGAGGATGTACAGACCGAGAACCATACCGCGCTGATGACTAAAGAACAGCTCGGAGAGCGACAACTGCGCGGCAGCCTCGGCACATGACTCAGAGGCACCAACAAAGAGCTGGCTCCAGATAGCATCGGCAGACCGCGTCGTCTTGGCGAACCATATACTCCCAGCAATAGACGAAAGGAGACAGAGGAGGTATGTGCTGCGGCGGCCATACAGGGCGGGCAGTGGGGAGAGGAGAAGTGTCGTGTAACCGATGCCGGCGAACAGAACACCGGCACCTGTGTTCTCAGTGCTGTCGCTGATGCCTTTCGCCAGCAAGGCGTCTGAAGCACTGCCGGCCGAGTTGCTGGTGGCGGCAGTTAACCCTACAATGAAGAGCACGAGGAATGCATGCCAGTATTTCCGCCATGGGGACCAGTTCAGAGGGTCGTTAGGGGAGTTGGTTGGTTGGGGGTTGAGAGTAACTCGGTGTCCTTCAGAGACGATGATGCGTTGCGTTCCAATAAGATGCTCGCTTCCAAGGTCAGTTTGAGACTGCATATTGTTTGGTTGGCATGAATACAATGGGAGATATCAGAGTTGTGATGAGCAGGATATTGGCTTTGACATGGCTATCGGATAGGCCATGGAGGCCATTAATGAATTAAGAGAGGGCCTGCGCAATACATCCTTGAATGTTCATATCTTCGGAAGTTCGGGCTAACTAACACCGCATTGGCTTAGGTTGTGATGCCTCCAAAAGTAGTGTCCCTCCTCCTCGATAGGTAGCAGTCAGAGGAAAATGAGAAAGTGTGACTCCCTTGGGTTAGTATAAGCCGGTTATACGGCCAAGGGCTAATGGCGGAAAACTTGCCTCATCGGGCCTGACAGGCTGAGTGTTATCACTATCTCGGGACTCGGCATCGAGATTAATCAGATTTCCCCGCAAACTTACCTGATAACGATTAAACTAACAGGCACTCGTCTCCATTGACTGCCTTCTTACGGCTTAGTTTTATGATCATCTTGATAAGGGCGTTTATGCGAATGACGCGGCTGCCACACAGAATCTTGGTCCCTAATGATGCCCCCATTCCCCCAACCACTGCTACCATGATTTAAGAGCCCCTTTCATATCGCATGGGGTACATACTTCGATAACAGCAAACACAAAGCATCCCAGTCCAAATCTGACCCCAAACCCAAGTTATCTTACTATCTGACACTATCCAAATCGCCCAAAATGGCTACTACCTTTATACCCAGCGCCTTGGAAAAACCAAGCAATTTTGGCTCCAATCTTGAGGGCCTTCTCAAACGTGCTGTCATCACTGGCGCTGATGAGAAGGCTCGAATGAGAGGAGATAACCCTCTCCCAAGCCTAGAGGCACCGAAGAAAGTGATTGTAGTCGGCGCTGGAATTTCTGGGCTCCGAGCTGCTTCGGTCCTGCGCCGCCACGGCCTCGATGTTGTAATCGTCGAGGCCCGCGACCGTATCGGTGGCCGCATCTGTGCCAGCAGCCAGCCCGGCAAGACGCGTGATCTCGGTACGTGCCAGTCCAACAACACATGTGGTTAACAGTAAACTGCAGACCTCAGAACCTGGGCTGTGTGCCGTCCTATCACACCTGCATGTCCAATGCCGGTGTAGGTATGTCAACACATACGTTCCTTCTAAGGGTACGCCTTATTATTGTCATGAAATATGCTAACATTTCCTTTTTCTTTCGTTTAAAGGTGCCGCTTGGATGCATGAAACGTCGCAAAACAAATTGACCAAGTTGATTCCCAAGCTGGGAGTCGACTATTACTACGATGACGGAGCTCCCTTGTACTACACGCCTTACGGTAAAGCCGGCGCTCAATTCAAAGCCAAGAAAGTGGCGGATGAATTCGCCGATTACTGTGAGTGGTTTTATAAGAACAATCCGGATGCTGAGGACAAAAGCGTCGACGAGTTAGTAAGATCATTTGTGAAGAAGCACGATCTCATCACAGAAGATGAGCGCCTTTGGGCCCCACAAGCTACCAGAGAGGTCAGTAAACGTCCGGTGACAAACATTTGTCTTTTAAGACCCCGCTGCAACTATTCACGAGCACATATTGACAGCACTATAGATAGAGCTCTGGATAGGCACAAGTACATCTGTAGCATCTTCAAAACACCTCAGCTATTTTGTTACGGAGCGTAACCTCTACGTTCTCCATGGTGGCTATCAGAAGATCGTGGGGTGGACAGCTGAGTCAATACTCGACTCCATCCACCTAAATCACCATGTCAGCCATATCCAGTGGAGCGAGGATGGTGCCTCAAGTGCCGTCGTCACCTGCCAAGACGCCCAGGGCAAGGAAAAGCGTTTGACCGCGGATGCTGTCATTGTGACCGTACCATTGGGTGTCCTTCGTCGTCAGTTGATTTCATTTTCGCCTGCCCTTCCGTCCGATACAAGTGAGGGGATAAATCGATTCAGTTATGGCGCCCTGGGCAAGGTATTCTTTGAGTTCGCCGAGGTCTTCTGGACCAAGGACCATGACCAGCTTATATACTACCCGGCACCCCCAGAACATCAAGAAGAAGGGCTTGTCACAGATGGCATCCTGGCGCACCCTACCGTCACCGTTAACACCTGGCTCATGTCGGGGAAGAAAGAGCTATGTGTCCAGGTTGCAGAACCCTTGACGCAGCGGGTCGAAGCCATGAGTAAAGAAGAGCTGTATAGCTTCTTCAGGCCTCTGTTCAATCTTTACCGCACTGAGCCATACAAGGCCCTCCCTCAACTTGTGAGTATCGAGTGCACAAAATGGACTCAGGATCCATTAGCTGGGTTCGGAACGTACTCGGCCGATAAGGTCGGCGATGAACCCAGCCTATTCACTGACGCTTTGGTAAATCACAAGCATAGCCGTCTGCAGTTTGCCGGCGAGCATTGCACTTTGGTTGCTAATGGGTGCGTTCACGGAGCTTTTGCTACTGGTGAGACGGCTGCCACGAACTTGCTGAGTTCTTTTGGAATTGGTTATGATGGTGGCGACCTTGTGAGTCTTATAAATGGCCTAAATTAGGCTAATAGAACCCAACTGTAGCTTCTATAATACAAATAATATGTTATAAATCAGGGAAAATCTCATAGAGCTTGCTGTCAGGTTTTACACCTAACTACCTTTGTAATAATATCACCTAAGTAAAAGAGAGTTATATTTAGAAGACGAATCTGTAAATACATATATATATATATAAAGATAAAGTAATATGATAAGGTATTGCAGGGATACTTGACATTTAGCTATTTAGTAAAGAAGTTCTATAATTACTCCAAAGCCTTAAAGCAGTACATCCCTCTTATGTCAGAATTTGATTAATTGTTAGTGTGAACAACAGGGGTCTAGCAGTTGTGGCTTGCCCATAGCCTATCAGCTGCTGTTGTTGGTCGTTGTATCCCAGCCTGATCTGCCATCTCCGCACTCACCACATTTAAGAAACCTCACCACTCGGTTCAACGTTGCTCAATCCCTCTCCACCTTTCTCATTTACCCATAAATCGAGCTGATATGGCCAACTCCCCTTTGCCCTCAAACGCCATGACAGTGCGCCTGTCCGATCCTGCCTATTGGCATGAGTATAAAAAACCCCTAACATTGTTCCACGACCTCCCACCGTGCGATATTGCGGCACCCAAGACAGAGGTCATATGTATCGTCTGTCAGAAACCTGGTTCACTCAGATGTTCTCGGTGCCACGACGCCGAGTACTGCTCAACTGATTGCCAATACGGTGATTGGGATACGCACAAACTGATTTGTGAGAAGCTGTCATCTTTTTCCAGCGAACCCCGACCATCCAAGGACCATTTCAGGGTATTGATATTTCCCTATCAGGCATCAAGTCCCGAATTCTGCTGGGGATTTTTCAAGAAACACGAAACCGATTATGAGGTTGATGAGCTCATCATTGTACATTCGACTATCGACAGTTGGAAGGCAGCGAACGAAGGACAATATACAGGTCCATGTGAATGGGTTATGCGTGTTCGTGCCCTCAGTCGGGACAGTGCTACACACGGAAAGATTCTCGGGCACGCGGTCAGAATTGCTTCCTATAAGTCTTCTCATAAATTGCACAGCCATTTACGCGGTTTCAATGAGACAGTCCTTACCCTAGCCGGCCCTTTAAGCAAACGTTTCTATGGTCCACTTGTGGCTTTGGCATACAATCTGGATAGTCGGTCTCATTTTGAGACTATGGACGACATATCATCTGCTGACTTTGGCGCGTTGGTCGATGTCTTCCACAAGTCAGACTGGAACCCGACCATCGGGCATGTTGAGGGATATCCTAAAAAGACCGTTTCGGCACTTTTCCTTCCCGACGTTTTCAACTTTCATCGCATGTATAGCTCTCGCCCAGAGACAACGTCAGAGAGTCCCGATGAGCTCTCAATTCGCCGCCTAATTGGCGCGCAGGATTCAGTCGTTGAGGTGAATATTGCTGCAACGCTAGACTCCAAACAGCTTTGTTCGCACAGTTCTTGCGACTTTGACGCTATATCAATTAAAGAACTGTGCCTCGATGGGGACATATTTCATACACTACTACTGGGGCCTCTTCTCTTAGATCTGCCCTGGATTGGCAGGATTGCTTTGTTCACTGATGATCAGATTGACACTCCAGAGTACCGGTGGTAAGAATCACGCTGTCGTTTTCTACGTCGGGGTATTGTCCTTTGCTATAAATCTCTTAGTATTGAGCACGTGCCTGAGAGAGATGGAATCATAGTGTTCAGCGCATTTGGCGTCAAAATAAGCCCACTTCATCTGATTGCCTACGACGAGTTTATGTTTCGCCAACTTCAGACTGAGAAATCGAAACGCCAGCTTTCGAAGGCTGGCTTTTTGTCATTCTGGAGCGACCTCAAGTCTGGCAAGGTTAAGATAACAAATGAACTCAAGACGCCGCAATATTCCCACCTCAATCTTCTAGAATTCTGGGGCGATTCTAGACCGCGCGAGACCCAAACAATGACACACGCCGAACTCGACTTCTCTGAGGAGTCGAGTCCATATGATACTCCTACGGATGCAAAGTATATCCTGACTGAAGACGAAACTCAGGTCTTTCTTCATATAAGGAAGCTTTTTCGGGATCCAGACTTCGTGAGGCCTAATCAGAGAGACTGGCTAGAGGTACTCTATGATGCCAATACGCTTGTACAGGACAGGAAACTGGGTCCAGACTACTGGGCAGATGAACTAGACAAGTTCTTTACCGATTACTTGTCCTCTTTAGCACAGGATTGAGATATATACTAGCTAGGTATTGAATTACTTCTGATATAATTATAATAGCAAATAGATATAGATATAACAGTGAAGTTTAGCTCCTTAATCTTAATGGGAGAAAGGAAATCCTGCTGCCTTTTAATGGACTTTCCACAATACTTCTATGGCGACTCCTGTACAAGATCTACTAAGGCTTTAGCGAATAGGTCTGCATTACCGGGCCACCTTGCTGAAATATGATCATACTCGTCATTCTTGACAACAAAGCTGGGCTGGCACATCAGAAGAGCGTAATTAATAGAGACTACTGTGCGGCCAACTTGCATGAGTGAGAGGAAGAAAACCGATAGCGATAGTGGTAGACTATATATATAAACTGGGACCGCTAGCTCTTGTGGCTTCATACATTTATGGTGGCTGAAGTAAATACTCTTGAAGACCTTTAAGTAGACCTCATTGAAGTGAAAACTGATGAGAAACAGGCTCATTTCTTCTGTGTGAATATACGAACTTTTATGGCCTGAGAATAGAAGTGAATGTGTATTCCAGACAATCACATGACATCGTGAATCATCGAATCTTCTTCAAGCTGAGATAGGGCCGTAGAGCCAAGTAAGGGGACCTCTACTCCAGATCAACAATCTAAACGACAAATGTCGCTTATCAGCTTCTGTAAGTAATTAATCCGCGGGATCAGTAGATCCTTTTGAGTTTCATCCAATAGAATAGGATCCGATAAGAAACCGTACATTTACGAATATCTAAACTAGGCCAAATATTAATAACATACTCCCTAATTAGTCTAGACTTGCCCCCGCGGCCCCTTGGCCTCCTCCCAAAACTCCCTCCCACAGAGAATACTTGCTGCTTGCATGATCTTCCACCTTCCGAGAGAACTCTAGTTTAGAAGCATATGCAAAACCCACACCTATTCCCGCCCCTGCGAGCGGAGCCAATCCCGTTACCGTACCGGCAATGGCAAGCCCAGTTCCCCCAAGGACTCCTAGAAGCGGTAGTAAGTTTCGCTTCATCACGTCCCGTTTGCGTAGCTTTTCTACTATCTGCTGAGTCTCGATGCATTGCTCTTCATTTTCCAGACTGAGCTGTTGAAGGGATTCGTTGAAATCCTGTTCCTCCTCCTCAATCCGTTGACGCTCTTGTTGGGCACTTGCTCTCGTCCTGTGACCAAGTCTTTCTTCGTCATCGAGCTCTTGTCGTCTCAATTGCCAACTCTGCTGCTCCTCCACCAATAAAGCATCGTTCGCGCTATTATCATGCAAGAGACGTTGATAATCACGTCTGCCTTTCTCGACCTCTCTAGCCAGTTGCTTTTGCTCAGTGCAAACTTTCTGCAAGACTTTGTTGTAAGCCTTCTCTCTTTCGATAAACACGCTCCGTAAGGAGACGCGCAATTCTTGTTGAGCAAGTTTCATGTCTCGAAGTTGACTCCGAACTTCCGAAAGAGAAGTCGATGCCTCTGACTGATTGCAGGCTCCTTGCTCGAAAGACCAAACCTCCTGGACGCATTTTCTCTCGACTGATGAATACTCCATAAGCAACTCTCGCCCAGCCATGGTTTCTGCTAGGGGTCTATCTTCATCTACCAGCTCCTTTTGGAGTTGTTGAGTCAAGTAGCCCCCCTTTTCGTTCAACGCCAGTAGCTCATTGATTGCTTTTATACCCGTCTCATAGTCGCCTAGCCACCGTCGTGTTTGGCTGCCTTGTTGACACAATGTTCCCCAGAACTCTAGCGTAGATGAGAGGCGAGTTTCTCGCATTTCGGCCTCACGATAGTCCGGCCCTCTTATGTTTATTTGATCCCACATGGTTGTTATAAGAAAGACCCGGGATGCTGCGTCGGGACCACAAATCCTTTGTAGCAAGGTGAAGTTCTTCGAGGCTGAACCAGAGACCCGGTTGTCAGAAATGCGATGTAGATATAGTATACCAGCTAATTTCATTCTGTGTTTGTAGATTGTTGATGTGATGTACGAAATTTCCTTAAGAATCTCAAGGTCGGAGCGCCAGGTGTCATTAAACCCTGGCGTATCTACGAGGTAAATCACCCGATTTTCAACATTCATACTGTAGATTCCGATGCCTTTTGTGTCTTGAAAGCTTTTAGCAGAGATTCTATCAGTATGCCGACTCTACTCACAAGACTCCAAGTCATGGCCAATTCCTGCGTCTTCTCCTGTGAGTTTGGAGATAAATGTACTTTTCCCAACACCAGTGATACCCATCACAAGGATGACAGCATCTCCAGCGGAAGGCGAACTGGCTCTTGTTAAATGTGAGGGTCACCACCAAGGTCGCTGACTTACCGTGCCGCAAACGAAAAGTCGTGATTCATACTGCAGGAAATACGATTAGAAGATCTGCATTGAGGCGATATCATCAACCCTTGCGGGGCAACATTTAAACATAAGGGCGGGTTCGGGCGGACCGAGCCTTATTTTTCCTTTAGTAGCCAAAATGAAATAAAGGGGTAAGCGCACACACTAAAAGGGATTTCTGTCTGGGCACGGCGTTTAGCACTTGGGGCTGACACAAAGGTTGGGGGCCAGAGGCATAACGTTCAACCTCAAAATAGACATCCATCCATAGCGACTGGCCGATGGTTCCCAAAGACAGCGCTTCACCTTGTGTTTATTAATAGATTAACTGGAAAATTGACCTATTATGGAATCAGCCACCGAAATGGTTGCTCAGCTGGAGGTCGTTGCGTAAGATAGCAGGGGTTGTCCAAAATCAGGCTGAGGAATCGCTGCTATGAATCGGTTGATTAGCTCTGTATTGCTGACCGAATGAAACATGAATGGAGGTAAGCGCCCGAACAGGCAGAAGCCTTTGTAATAGTATCTAAAATTAGAAGTTTGGCGCGAGCCTTGTTTGTAGTGTTATGGTTATTCACTCCAACTCGTAACACATAAAGCTCGCTCCTCGCTCGTTCTATGCGTACGTGGTTAGTTTCAAAGTATTCCAAATAAAGCGACTCTTCTAAATTCTTTTGTCTCCACACTCGTTTTAACATGGTTCAAGCTCATTACCGTGATGCAGAAATGTTCATGGATACTCCAGCCTCGGCCGGGACATTTCAGCAAACATTTCAGGCCCCATTCAAGCCCAGCTCATCTGATGTTTTCATCGCCCTCATGGGAATGACAGGTGCTGGCAAGAGCACCTTTATTTCGCATTGCACGGAAGAGGAAGTCCGTATCAGTGAGCCAGGTGCTCTCGAGTCCTGTAAGTCAATAGTCTATAGTTAACCATGGCCTCTGTATCTAATAAGAAATCAGGTACACAGGAGGTTCGGGTTCACAAGTGCAAACAGTTCAGTCCGTTTGCCAACGTATATCTCGTGGATACACCGGGCTTTGACGACACTACTCGCAAAGACACCGACATCCTCAAGGAGATTGCAGGCTGGTTGACAGAAACATACCAGCAGAAGATCAAGTTACGAGGCATCCTTTATTTGCACCGCATTTCCGACAACCGCATGGGAGGATGTGCACACAAGAATCTCGTCATGTTCAAGCGTCTTTGCGGTCCTGAAGGCATCAAGAATGTGACATTTGTCACAACTCACTGGGAGAAAGTCACCCAGGCCGAAGGCGAAAGACGTGAGTCGACTCTTCAATCAACCAAAGAGTTCTGGGGTTATTTCGTGGACAAAGGCGCCACTGTTCGCCGGCACGAAAACACTCAAGATTCTGCCCTGTACATTGTGGAGCAGTTTGTGCCAGGCTGGTCGGCCAGAGCACCAGATGAGGTCAACCTCGCTATCCAGTCAGAGATGGTCGACTCTGGAAAAGACCTGAACAATACAGCAGCTGGTAAGGAACTGCAGGATACTCTCTCAAAGGAACGAGAGAAGATGAAGCAAGAAATGGATGCCCGAGATCGAGAAATGAGGGAGGCTCTCAAAGCTCGTGACAAAGAGATGTTCGAATTTCTCCGCGAGGAGCAGGAAAACCAGAGAGTTGAGTTGAGACGTAGGAGCAGAGAAATGGACGAGCTCAAGGTCAGCATGGAAAGGATGCACGCAGAGAGGGTTGGAAAACTTGAGGCTCGGCTTCAACAACAATATGAAGAAAACAAGGCGTACCGTGAGAGCGTCCAGCGAAGAGACAAGGAACACACTGCAGAGATGGAGAGGATACAAGCTAAGCATGCTTCTGAAAAGAACCGTCAGGACGATATGTTACAGAGTCTCAAGTCTCAGATCAACGAGCTGAAGCGGCGATCGCCTCAGCCGCAAAACACTCCGCCTCCATTCCCGAACAGTCATACCCAACAGTACAATGGGTACAACAGCCCCTACGATGCACGAAGAAACATCCATACGCAACGACCCATGGAGGATAATTTCCTGAAGTATCGTGGAAGCTACCTCTCCAATTGTTTGACTTGCGGCAAGTACTTTCACAGTCGCGAGAAGCTCTTTCGTCACCTTGAAGCCCAAAATCATGCTCGGGATATAAAGACGGGGCGACCTGAGGGGAGTCCATACCTGTACCAGTCCGGGTACACCAATTAGAACGTGACCTTTGTACTGGGTCCCTATATTACTACAGAATAGAAAGATAATTGATTTGATTCTAATGTTGGGTATACCACGAATCCGGACCAATATTGATCCATGTGTGACAATAGCATGCCTGAATAAAGTATCGTAATCTAATTTTCTTTCCCATTTCGAAAGCAGGATGGTGCTTACTGCGTCGTTTCTCGATGCATCCGACTTCATGCCTGCTTTCGCACTCGGATAACAGGGTGCAGCAGGACGCTACTGAATATACATAGAGGCTTATGGTGTATCCTCAGCGAAAATAAAGCATTGATACGTGATTGGGCAGCTCGATGTTCATTCCCGGTAGGGCTTAGTACTTTTAGACAAGAGCCTATTCTTTTCAGACAGGCCTTAGGGTCAGGAAAATATAAAAATTAGAAGAGGGTGCCAAAATAAACTCGGGAAAGAGTCCCCTAAGCTTGGGTCAAGATACATAAATCTTTTTGTCATTTAGGAATGAGGTCCTGATTTTGCTTTCCTCCCCTAAATAAGTAACCCGTACCTGTGCTCGCCGCCAAAACAATCCGAAAACCGCCAATCATGCCGTGGAGTCTCATCACGCGCAAGCCAAGCCCGCTCCAAGAGACTTAGAGCTTCTTTCGCAGATCCAAATGCTTTAAGCGGGCCCAACTTGGAGACAGCCTCGATAAAGATGATCTCGTCCTCTTCCTCTGCCAGGACTCCAGCTATGAAGAATGGCCACATGATGCTGCGCAGGGAGACCTGGCATGCAGGTGATCCAATCAATCTTGCAATGAACTGCACGTGATCTTTCGTTTCAGTCTGCGAAGGTCGACGTCTTTGTTCGACCATAAGAAGGTAGAGTGTTGCTCCGTGTATCCATGCCTGTGCAACCTGATCGGCCGCCAGGTCTTTCTGTGAGTCGACTTGAGAGTCCATTAGGCCAGTTTGGAGCTTCATTTTCACCTCGGCCAGTATCCTCCAGTCTCGTTCTTCTCTTACGTGGAATACATTGTCTCCGCTAGCGTTTTTTGACGCATCGATTGACGAGATCTGGCCCAGAACTGCCAGAACCCAGCCCGGACATCCGATGAACTCCCCTGTCTCCAAAGTCGGCAATTCACAGCCGTCACTTGTAGGTTCGGCAGCTATCAGCATTCCATGGTATGGTTGCAGTTTCGGCGGTGTTCCACTCATGACACCTGATATCACGTCTGCGTATATCAAAAAGGCCGAGAAAAACCGAAAGGCATTTTGATCATCGGACCAGGGTCTCATATGTAGGTTCAAGCCATCAAAAATTGAACTCCTAGGTGCCACGGTTTGTAGAAATGCGTCAAGGTTAAAAGTCCCATCTGCTTGACGGCGTGTTTCGATAATATCACGGAACAAACCCAAGGCTGCTGTGAGGTGCAAGTTCCAATCAGCGCCCTGCGCCATGGCCGTGTCGAAGATGAGCTGCTGAACAATGGCTCCTAGTAACCGAGCCTGTTTAAGAGGGTCCTCCTTACCCCGTGGCCCTTTGTTAAATGCGGCCATTTCGCTCTGGATAATTTTAAGGGAGCAGTTCATATGCAACGCCAGAGTATCCCAAACTTGTTGCTCGCAGGTAGTGCGGAGAGTCTGTCTTGCATCTCGCGCTAGGAGGAGGGTGAAGTAGTATGCACTGATACTGATAACAGGATGATAGATTGCGGGCTGTTCTAGGATACCTTTGAGTAACCAGGTGCGACCACCAGCGAAAGTCTGTGGGTGATATAGGGGGAAGAGATGAGGAAATACGGTGTCGAGGTAAAGGCTTGTCAGGAAATCATCAGTTTCCTTTTGGTTGGTTGGGTGACATGCTCTAACAAATGTGGCGGCATCGGCGCTGGACACCCACGTACCGGGTTCTCCAGAGGACGGGGAAGTATCCTCCGAAGAGGCCTCATGTAACTCAATTGCTGACGAGCCGTATTCCTGTTGAAGAGGTTGAACCTGGACGGCGAAGCCCTTTGCACGGCGAGACGTAGCACCTTGGATGACCTGGGCTTTGACAAATTTAGCCCTTTGCTTTTGCTTATACCCTCCGTCCATCCACTGCGGACGTTTAGGACTATAGTGGCAGTCGATTGAGAGATCGTCACAGCCTCTGCAGACGGGCCGAGTCCTGTCACACTTCTTGCGCCGTAAGCGGCAGGTCCAGCAGGCTGGGGCAGTCATTATGCAGCTAATGGGGATCAATGGAAGCCCGACGGTGTATTTTTCACCCTATGAGCCAAGTCTCGATGGGTTGTGTGGATGGAAGCGACGCAAGATTGAGTTGGGGTTGTGATAAATCGAGAGTCTACCTTGGTCTGAGCGGAGCAAATGAAGTTGGAAAAGAACTGGGTCGGCTTCTGGGCGCGCGCTGCCCTAATAGGGAAAGGCGTGTGAGCAATAATTACGCTTGACCAATTACCTGCCTAGCTAGCTACTCTTAGCTGGTCTGAGCCCATAGCTTATGATGGAACCGCAACACCTACAGACAATTCTGATCTCTTGATTTGATATGTCTCATGTTGCATGGTTACCTGAGTCATGCATAGGGATTGTAGACAAATCTGACGTTTCGTCACTGACCAATTCACCGCCAAAACGCCACGATGGACAGAGGTCTGTTTAGAACCTCTCGAAAGGCTATGAATTAAATAGTTATTTATAAACATAATATAAGATAAATAAATTAGCTTTTGTTATTGGCATAAGGAAAACCTACAATAAAAAGTGTTTAAAAGGTTTAACAGTCCCTATTTGTGAAATTATAAGTAAATACATACTAACCTAGCAATCTCGCAGTAATGATTATTTAAGTTACTTAATATAACCAACTTTGACTACCGCGCGATTTCTAAAAAGAAGTTAGTATTATTTGACTGACTTATCTTTACTTCGCACTGGAGAACAATAAGCCTTAAACTCACTTTATCTCTACTCGGGAGGGGTCTCGGGGACCAGATTCTACCCGCCAGCCCGGACAATATCCCTTGTACGGGCTCCATGTCGCACCTGGAGTCCTGTTTAAAGCCTACTAGAAGACCACGATCTTCGATTAATAAAAATTCCTTGTTCTTTCATCACAACGCATGCATCACGTTAGGGCTTTTTTTACAATTGCACCTCTCATCACCAACATTTCACTGAATTCGACGACATTCGCCATGGCCTCTTCCCCCAAGCTTAACGTGGTCGTCGCCGGCGCCTCTGGTGAGACAGGATCGTCCATCATGAAGGCGCTATTGGCCAACCAGGCGCAGTTTCATGTCATCGCATTAGCAAGGCCTGAATCGGCAGGCAAGGACGTATACAAGGCCATGGCTTCTTCAAGCGCTACTATCAAGACGGCCGACTTCCGCGCTGTAGACAAACTTGCAGAACAGCTTGCGGGCGTTGACGTCGTCATCTCGTGCCTAATGCCGATTCAACTGGTAGAATCAGAGACACTTATCGACGCTGCGCATCGTGCTGGCGTTGGTCGCTTTCTGCCCAGCTTCTGGGGACCTGTCATGCCTCCGCGTGGTGTTATGGCTGTTCGTGAAATACGAGAGGACCTTCTGGACCGCTGTAAGCGTCTCTATCTACCTTATACTGTTGTCGATGTCGGAATGTGGTACCAGGTCTGCCTGCCAGCACCGTATGCTCCTCCACCACCCGTTGCCGATGTGTTCATCGGAGATGGCAATGCACCTAGCGCCATAATAGACAAAGACGATATTGGGCCATATGTGGCCCGCATCATCACGGATTCGCGGACCCTAAACCGGTCTGTCTTTGCGTATGGCGAGGTTACCACGCAAAGCACCATCCTAGCCGAGGTTGAGGCTGCAACGGGAAAGAAAATGCCGTGGGATTCGATGTCGGCTGCTGAGCTCGAGGCTCGTATTCCTGATAGCCAGAGATTAGCGGCAACAGACCCGAATGATGTAGGGCTGTTGTTGAACCTGGCTGAGGATCAGTATAGGTATAGTCGCTCTGTCAGGCTCGACAACACGCCCGAGCATGCCCAATATCTCGGGTACTTGGACGGCAAGACTTTATACCCGGATCTCGAGTGTAAGTCGGTGCGTGAATTTGTACAGGAGGTGGTCAGCGGAGAGCGAGACCATCGTATCTATGTTGGCCGGGATCCAGTGGCAGATGCAACGCAGCACAGGACTTAGGCACTCTTGGACAAGAGGGGGGACAAAAGAAGTAAGGTGTAAAGCCAGTAGTTCTACTTATCATCAGAGAAAGTCAGCTCCATAGCTACATGCAAGAGGATATAGTAAACCCCAATTTTAGATTTTCTGTTTCAATAGTGTTACATGGTTCCATATATCCATCCATTTCTGATGTTGACCTTAGCTTAGGTCTACTAGCGATATGTAAATCTAGTTCTCGAATTTACGGCCATTAGCCTAATAAGTGATATGGTAAATTGCACTGCTATTACCCTGATCTTTTGATAACTTTTCTACTACCAATTTGAGATTTATCAGCCCAGTCTGATACTATGCCAGAAATTCACCACTACTATATAAAGTACTTCAGTATTCTTACACATAGTTTCTTACTAAATAAGTCTATAATATATTAACTTATCTAACAATAGATCCTGGTCTGGTCAAGCTTCAAATTCCTGACTTCTGTAGTAAGAGCGATTTTGCCGAGGTCCATATCGGGCTGGACATCCTGTATCTGGACTTTTACCTTCTTTGTCACAAGAAGCCGATCTCCTGCACTGGCGCCACTCCCGGTATAGTGAGAATCACCAGTAATCTTGATGTAAGGAGAGTCTCGCGTCAGCCCGTCAATGCTTTCGAGGAAGTCAGGAGCCACAATCATCTGGCGAATGACAATGTTGGCTATGGTACAAGCCAACAGTATGAGTGTTGATATGGCAGAAACGCAGAACCATGCGGCGCTCATGGTATACTGCTTCTCAGTGAATTCGGTCCAGGTTGCGGTGGTGTTATGCCAAAAATCGTTACGCCCAGAAAGGGTAGTTCCGTCAGCACCTGTAAGAACAGTGTTGTTGTACGTTGCCATTAAGAACGTGTTCAATGCTGTCGAAAGCCTACCTTCTAAGTATGTTCGGGATATGTTTTTGAAACAGCCTGCAAAATAAGGCCATACGGGATCGTCTATGTTGCTGTACATTCTCAGAGGATCATAGATGAATTTCTCCAGAGAGCTTGGTCTCAAACTCATATACGATGCCGTTGTAAACGGCATTTCGAACAATATCCCTTGGGCAACTGGCGAGTAAGAGAGGTCCGTTATTTTTGAGGAGAACCTTGGCTTTTGCGTCCTGCGGATCTGCGTTGTTCGACATTCCAAATCCCCGAAGTCGCCCGATCTTGTGCAGTTTACGGTAGAGTCGACATTTGAGGTACTAACGTTGCACACGCGGAGCATGAGGATTTCCCGACCCCGGCCCGTCGGACAGGTGCCTCCAACAACCATTTGTAGGTATGATTCGGGCTCGAGTTGGTTTCCAATTGGGTATAAATGACGCCAGGTGAGGTTGTCGTTAACGAGGTCCAACCACATATTTGGTGTGGTCCCAAGGTTACCATAGGAGTTTAGCGGCCCTTCCTGAGAAGGCAGTGACCCGTAAGATGTTGAAGTCATTCTATGCCAAAGGACCTTTGGTTTATCTTTAGAACCTTGGAGTGGTAGCCAAGAACGACCTTCAAATTCCTCACCGCACTTGAGGATTTGATATCGGGACTGCAACACCATACTAGAATTACCCTCCCGAGAAAAAGACCCCCCACGAATGGGAACACCAATAAAGGAAGAGTATGACACAATTTGATTTGACGGCACCGGCGTCCATGCCGTTGGATTTCCATCGTCGTAGTCTGGGAGATACTCCATAAATGGAATACGGACATTCCGCCATTGATCTTGTTGGCCCAGACGAACTGCCCGAGGCGTACCTCCTAGCTTTTTGACAACGTTTTCAAACTGGGGGCTTGACATGTTGGCATGTGAAAGCAATATCTCGGATGCAGATAATGCAGCGAGGACTGTCCTTCGAAATGCGCTGATCCTCTCCATTGTCAAAGTGCCACCATTAAACGCGTTTGTATCTCCTTCAAAGAGTGGCGATGAGTAGTCGTTAGTGGCCTTTAGAGGTATCTGCGAGAAGTAATGCGCAGCAGGGATGCTTAAAGTCTGCGTATTCGTATGCGAACCGAGCGATCGAACGACTGCCTGTCCGCCTAAAGGGCTTAAACACCATAATGCTGCAATAGAGAGTGTCCATATGCGAATAATCCTCAAAGTGAAAAGATTTTTCAGTGTTGATACTGTAGTCTGGCCAGTCAATAGAAACTCCAATGAGCCAAGGCTCGTTCCTCGTTCAGCGCTAAACAAAGCAAGAGTCTTGAGGAAAGGCCCAATAACCGCTGCGAATGAGATAGGCCAGAGAGTTGCAGCCAGCTGTAGGGCCTCAAGAGTATCCTCACCGAAGGAGCTTTTCTTCTTATTATGAAGTGAGGCTACGATTCCCAGAAGAACTAGAGCTGCGATCAGTGGTGCTGTTTGGAGAAAGGTTCGAAGACTGCTTCCTACCAATGTATGTGAGAGGAACGACTAGAAGCAATGCAGGTGTGCCAATTCTCAATATTCGAGGAGGCGAAGCCTGCCCAAGGGGTAGATAAGCTGTCCGAGTACCGCCAGCGCCCGTGCCCCCAGTGGCTCCTTCTGACGCTGTGTAAACCTCCATCAATGCCGTCTTTTCGGCGATCTCTGGTTTTGTTTCGGCATCTCTCTGCGAGGATGAATCGGCATCTAACTGTGCGCTGCTTGTTGTAATTGGAGTGGTCATAGCAGCAGGTGACGTCTTTAGGTAAAGTTTGGTTGCGAGCTGGATGTTTTATCTGCAGTTGAGACTTTTGGCTGAGAGCTTAAGTCAGAAGAGAGAACTTTGAAGTAAAGGGAAGAGGGGGACGAACTCTTGTTAACCAGGGTGTTTATAACGGCTAAATTCGAAACAACCCTTAATTAAATATTTGCTGTTGGCTGTTCAGCTCATGCATGCCAAGACTGTTGGTTGGACTTTTTGTCTGTGCAGATTGCTGTTAACCCAAAATCCCTGTTATGCACTAATTATACAGAGTAGTTAGCTCAGCAGCGGTATAATAAATATATTTAAAATAGCTAATAGAAAACTATCGTAATTAATAATTAAGCGTTAGCATAAAGTATTTATAGCAGTAATACACCGAGTAGAATCCGCCGTACGTGAGGTCAGCAAACTTCTTGACCATTACGGGACTAATGCCTGACTTTTCGACCCACGTTAAAGATTCAGCAATTTGTGTGATGGTGTTGAGGGCGAAAGCATTGCCAATGAGCTTAAGTTTAGCCGCGTTACTACGAGGCTCATCTCTAAAAGACATCTTATTACGTCCCATTAACCTTTGATGTATGGACGTAGCTTGTCAATGGATGACTTGGCGCCAGCAGTTGCGAAGATAAGCGTACTAGAATTGGCCACTTGAGACGGACCAAATGCTATAGAAGATAGAAACAAAGGAAGTGTTTTGAATATGTTATTTAGAAAGCGGACATACCTGGACTGCTGACAAACTCTGCTCCCTTGTCAATCATCAGTTTCGCAATCTTAATTCTGGGGAAATAGTTGAACACCCGGTAAAGAGTTTCCTGCATATGTCACCTCCTTCGGCCATGGACTCGTAGATATCCGCAACGGCAGAGTCTAAGCCCAACCAAGAGAAAGTAATGTCACAGGAGCCGACATTCGTTCAATGAGGTACACATCTTGGCATGGTCCGAGCCGACTTGGGCTGCAAAGTCTTCACATCGTTTCTGGGTACGATTGTAGACGACGAGTGGTTTGTCTAGACAACCTTTCTTGACGAGGTTCAAGCACATACCCTAGAAACAGATGAGGAAGTGAGCTAATAGACAAAGCAGGATGCTCTTACACGGCCCATGTTACCAAGGCCTATATAAAGGAGTTGGGGAGCCATTATACAACGAGAAAGTTAACTCTTTGATTGTAGCGTATAGACGATAAGATTACTGAAGATATCGGGATTTATTTTATTCCTGTCACTTGGCATTTGGTTCGGAGCTGCCTTTTGTAGCCCGTGCAGAATCTAGATAAGGAGCTATGGGTCTACTTCGGGCTTAGGACGGTAACGGGACTTCGTTGCATAGCACATAAGCTGGGAAGCTAGACCCTTCAACAAGATGCTGCCTGTCATCAGGGAGCAAGAAAACACCAGACCTTAGTATAAGGTGTCAAAATAAACTTGGTAAAGAGTCCCCTAAACTTAGGCTAGATTTACCTAAGCATTTTTATCGTTTAGGGTGGTCCTAGCCGCCTGTGTAGTTCAACCTGGTACATGTCAAGCTTGCGGTTACACTCAAGATCGATACTTTGCTCTGCAGTCCTCTAATTGGAACTTCATTACTGATAATAAGATACCTATATATATGACACGGCCCAATTGATGCAGCTCAAGATTGCATCGAGTCAGACTAATAAGCTAAGATGAACCTTACCTTGGAACCATGATTGGTTAGCTCGATGTCGTTTGCACATAGAGCGTAGTGCCGGCTTACTGCTGCACCAAGGGTGTAGGCGGAGATAATTATTTATTAGCCCGTCGGAAACGTACGTGGTTCCTTCTTACCAGATACAGGAACTATTACGAGGTTGTCGCTGCCTTGTCTCCTTCAAGCGAGAACGACTGAATGTATAAACTGTAACTGGGTGCATCCGGTGATGGACCTTTGCTCAGCCGAACCGCCGTAAGCGCGTGTCCGAAGGGCAGTCATCTACAGGCTGCATTATCTGCAGGTCCGTATATACCAGTCTCTCGTGTTCCAGCACCCACTGACTAACTGCTGTTCAAGAGGCCGCAAAGTCAAATGCGATGAGGCCAAGCCAGCATGCATACGCTGTCAGACTGCACGCTTCAAATGCGAAGGATATGCGTCGAACTTCCGCGTGGTGGCCTCTGCTAGCTTGGCTACCGCAGCACTTCCAGTCATATTATTCAAAACAGCTCATGCACCACTTCACTACCAGCCACTACTAGAAGAAGTACTATACCTCGCCCAGCACTTCACCATCAAGCCTATCCCGACACACAGTTCCACGCACGAGAAGGAAGCTCGTCTCACATCTGAGCTATCTAATCATGCGTCCAGGACAGGACACGACTACATCTCCGTGATTCACAGAAGTTCCTTTATCACCAACTAGGCCGTAGTCTCCGCTCCAACTCTGTCACTCACGACCTTGGCGCCCTCTGTTTCTCCGTTGATAGGCACCACGTTAGCTCCCGCAGTAGTGACGTAGAGAACATCTTTCTCTGCCTCAGCCACCCGGAGAGCACACGCTGTAGCCGATGCTACAGCCCAGGACGCAAACCCTCCTGCAATCACGATGCCCTCGTCGCCGCTGAGTAGAATTTGAATGGCCATGTTTGTCGGATGCCTTGTCATATACACAGCCCCGTCATCTGCAATACAAAAATCATCTGGGACTAGCCCAACTGTCGGTGGCGGAAGTGGGCTTGTGAGTGATCTCTCCACGTGCGTTTCTGGATATCTAGTCCATCTCAAACGATGAGCTGGCTTTTGTAACTAGCCGATTCTAGATGAAGATACGATAAAAGGTGCAGTGAGCCCGGCGCTTCCGTGGGGTCCAGCTACGGTTGGCTGAAAAGCAACTAGCGAGATTGGCTAAGTTGAACAAGCTATTAGGGTAGTTTTGTAATATTGTAAGTTCTACGATGCAGGAGCAGTTTTACATCAGCCTATCAGTGTCCGTCTGTGCCACCCTCGCACTTGGACACGATAAAGCAAAATGAGGTCAACGATCACAATTGGTATCTCATCTCACAGATACACGACGCGTCATTGACTTGAATCATATGTATATATATCCTGGTTCAACGCCTTAAAACAGATAGTAACTCTTACTTCACACCCAACTTCTAAACATCACCCCAACACATTGATATCATGGCCAAAATCGTCCGCATCACGTTCCTGTTGCGAAAATGCGACGATATTACGTATGAACAGTTCCATAAGTAGTTAAGTCCTCTAGACATCCCCTTATCGTTTCACCAGAACAGCCACTGACTCGTTCTTAATCTAGCTGGTCGGAAGAGCATCCAAAGATATGGCTATCTGTCCCCATCGTCAAGCAGAATCTTGTCAAGTACTCGCAGTTCCACGCTGATAAGAAGCTTGACCTCTCAGGGACTGGCATGCCACCTGTTGCACCCTTCGATGGTGCGGCTATTATGTGGGCCAAGAGCCTTGCGGACCTCCATGCTGTGAGGGTATATCCTATGCATAAAACTTTTCGTCGTACTGATGTTCGATGTAAAGATCTTTAGCGATCCTGAGTATAATCGGATCGTCGTCCCGGATGAGGAGAAGTTCCTTAAGCGCGCTGAAGCTGTTCCAATCATTGGCTGGGATGAGGTTAAATTTGTCACGGAGGGTTTGCTTGAAGGTGCGGAATGACCTGATGCAGGGTCTTTGTATCTAGCTCGCGTGGATCAAGAGCCTTTTCATTGCCATAACGTGCCCGTTCACCATTGATCGAAGTTTCAAATTGAAGTGCACTATAGATCCTATCCTTGAAAATTAACTTCCTTATCATTAGGAGTGTATCTAATCTATTCTATTAAGTCATATAGCTTCTAGACTAGGTCCGACTGACTCTGTTCCTTGAGAAGGTTACCTTCATTTGTAGTCCAAACCCTTCTTACATATTGAATTTATATGCGTGTCTCCTTACTCTCCCCAATTTCTTGGTTTTCTTTCTATACCATGCCTAAATTCTTTGGTCAGTTTCGACTACATGAGGAACCAGGCGACAAACCGTGTCATAGCCAGCTCCAATGATATAGTTGCCAATCTTCTTCAATAACCAAAGGGTCGGAATAGAAATAGCAATGGCTCGTGCCTCATCATCCCCTTTGCTCATATTCAGTAGCGTGCTCGAGGGAGCAGAAGCATCGAACACTGCTGGTTGCGCCAGTCCGACCATGTCCAGGGCTTTGCTTAGCTGAGCGCCTTCGATCAGCTTTCAGCTACGGAATCCACCCATGACGAGCAGAGGTAGATCTGGGAACTCCTTTCGGATGGCTTCTGCGAAGTCGAGAAAGAATGCTTCTCTTGCCGCTGTGCTTTCTTTCTTCACCCGCTTAACTTGATCAGGGTCCAGGATTTCCTAATTGACGTGTTAGACAATGCTGGAAAGGTCGGTGGCACAGGGGATAGACCTACGATTGGCTCTTGATAACTTACCCCACTGATTTCCAGGAAAGTGAGCCCAGCGTCAGTGATCCCCGGCCCCCGATTCTCGGCATAAAGGTCAGCCCGACGGCCGTGATTCATGATGAGTCAACGAATAAGGCCAGCCCCGCAGAAATCTTGTAGTCTGAAGTCGACCCTTGCTGAGTAATAGAAACAAAAAAGGGACGGCATCCACAACCCCCGATGTTGTTCTACTGAAGACGGTCTCGGGTGGAAGTGAAAGCCGACGGGGAGAAATCAATTCAGGCTGAGGCGAGGCTTTATTATTCTGAAGGATGAACTCACTTTTAAGTGCCACGCCGGCTACTGCTAGCTTTGCCACTTTCCGTTCAGTCTGTCATACTTAAGTGTGGCATCGCTCCCAGAAAGACTGTGTCCGCTCGTATCATTTACCTGATTTGCTATCAAACACCATGTCGAACCGTTACCGCAAAGTGGTCATACCCAGATACGGCGATGCCTCGGTCCTCGAGATCGTTGAAGACACATTAGCAGCCCCAGCTAGCAGACATGTCCAAGTCGCCCCAATTCACGCTGGTTTCTCCGGCGCCGACGTTCACATGAGGCGCGGTGTCTACCCCTCGCAGCAGAAGCCTCCCTTGACCCCAGGCTACTGTCTCGTTGGCACTGTCAAAGCCAACGGCACCAACAGCAATATCTTCAAACCTGGCGACATTGTAGCATGCTTGACCAAGTATGATGCGCAGGCTGAACTTGTCAATTTGCCCGAGAAGCACCTTATTCCTGTGCCTGCAGGCCTGGACCTGCAGCAGGTGACTGCGCTTGTCCTCGACTGGTCCACGGCGTACGCCATGGTTCACCAAGTCGCCAAGGTGAAGAGTGGACAGAAAGTCTTCGTCCACGGCGTTAGTGGATCTGTGGGCTATGCCACCATGAAACTAGCACAGTTGCGTGGGGCCAAGGTGTACGGCACGGCATCGGAACGAAATCACGCTGCTATCCGAGAACAGGGAGGAGTCCCATTCGTCTACACCGATAAGAATTGGATCAAAGTGATGAAAGACGGTGGTGGTGTTGACGCCGCTTTTGATTCCATCGGTTTCGACAGCTTTGAGGAGTCCTATGATATACTCAACGACCACGGCATAGTTGTTGGCTTCGGTGCCAATCAGCTGTCTCTCACCGGCGAGGCTCCCATCTCAGCTATCTGGCCTACAGTCAAGTTTCTGCTCAAGGGAAGAGTCCCATGGCGGAGCAAGCGAACATACTTTTACCGCATCGATCGCGATCAGCCGGAGTACAGGCCTAACATGAATACTCTTCTTGATCTGCTCGGAAAGGGCGAGATTCATGTGCCCATCAGGAAGGTCTGGGACTTGGACGATATCCAAGAAGCTCACGGTCAGTGGCACAGCGGATCCGGAGTTGGTGCAGTTATCGTCAACATCAGGTCCGGTGCTGCATAGTGATGTCTGCGATGAGGGTGCCTTGATAGTACAGATAGCTAAAATATAACTTTTGAAAAGCTTAAGGTATAGGCTTCAATAATAGAATTTTATATAGAACTATTCACTGCTATAGCCTGAAATGTAAGGCATGGAAGTGGAGACATTATATGCTTTTAAAAAGGCGTGAATCAAGCGCATCCCTTTTCTTATAATCATAAACAACCCTTTTACTATTTCATCTCCAGCCATGGCATCTAACTACCAAGCATTCAATCCCCAGATTCCATCCATCTTTGATGCAGCATTATACGACAACTATGACGAAGTCTGCTCCTTGATCCAGCAGAATGTTGATGTGAACGCTATCAACCCAAACACAGGCGCCACTGCATTGCACATGGCGAGCGGTTTGGAAAGAGGGCGCAAGGTCAAAATCCTCCTAGAGGCCGGTGCAGATCATTCGATCGTCGACGATCTACACGAAACTCCAATGCATCAGGCCGCAATCACTGGGAACTGCGAAGCTGTGAAGCTTCTGCTTGAAGCTGGCGCAAGCCCTCATGGAAAAGGACGTGACGATTCAACCCCGACACATATGGCGGCTTGGAACGGCCATACTGATGCTCTGAAGCTCTTGATCAATGCTGGCGCGGACATACATGCTGTCGATGAAATGGGACAAACGCCCCTTCATGTGGCTGCAAATCACGGAGCCGGCCCGGCTACTTTGCAAATCCTTCTCAAAGCAGGAGGCGATATCAATGCCAGATCTGACAGTGGAGAAACGCCCTTGCTTGCGGCAGGGGGATATGATGATATGGTGGAATTCCTAGTTCAGGAGGGTGCAGATCTGGAGATTGCGGATAATAATGGGATGACAGCTTTGCACATTGCCGCGAGAGATGGAGTGCGCAGTCAAGTACAGTTCATTCTTGACACAAATCGCTTTGAAGTTAATGGCAAAACGAAAGATGGAATGACATCGCTTCATTTCGCCGCGGCCAAGTCGTATTGTGAAGATATCACCTCGCTTCTTTTGGATAGCGGCGCCAATATCGACGAAGTCGACAACGATGGAAATACAGCTTTGCATTTGGCCTGCGAGAGTTGGCAGGATAGCGTCGTCAAGATATTGCTCGACAAGAGAGCCGATACGGAGAAGAAGAACCAAAAGAACGGAGAGACACCTTTGCACGTTGCCGCACGTTGCCGCACGTATTGGACGAATCGGCCCTCTTCGTGCGTTGCTTGAAGCCGGAGCTGACCCGCGAACGACGGACCAGAACGGGAGAACTCCAAGACAGAGTGCGGAAGCTACAAAAGCGGAGCAGATTGTATTACAGATTGAAGAGTGGGAAAAGCAGGGGCCTCATAGTGATGAACTCAATAGTCAAGTCCGGGGCCAGATCTTGAAGGCTGCCGAGACCTGGGATGAGATTGTAAGGTTATTAAAAAGTATAGAGTAACCTCCAGGCTTATTTTATTTAGTGCTCTACTGTAAGCAGCCTAACTCTCTGATTTGTTACATTAAATTAAATATACGATCTCGGTAGTTAGATAGTTCTACTATTACCCTTAATTAAAGGTAATAAGGCTCCTTCACTTAAAGCCAGATTGCTTGCTATGACTAATCTACGTGTGCCACACCATGGCTTGGGGAATTAGTCCGTCCAGAAAGAATGTTTATGCGGGGCGTAAAACCAACAACCAATTGACTAAAACTGCCGAGTGATTACTATTCACTAATTGTAAGCTTGCTCTAGTGTTAGTGTGGGCTGTCTGATTATGCAGCATTGATCCTACTCAATTGGGAAGGGCTGTTCGATTATATAACCTTGATCCTACTTATTTAGGTAAATGTCCTAGAACCTTGACGATTTACGCAGAATTAACTGTGTTGACAAATCGATGCGTGTTTTCAATGATTTGAGTAGTTCCAAAAGGCCGGAGGCAGTGGCGTTCTATGGAGCCAATATACTGGTGTTGTACTACAGTTGGATGGATATATAAAACGACTGTTTGCACTTGGCAAGATAAGAACTTCAGGAAAACTGCATTCATAGCCACCATTCTTACTTCAATAACCATAACTCATACTATATCACTCGTCCAAACAAACCCACCATGACTTCTCCATCTACTATCCTCATCACCGGCGGAAACCGTGGAATCGGCCAGGGCCTCGTCAAGACCCTTCTAGCTCGGCCTTCACTCACCGTCATTGTCGGTGTCCGCGATCCATCCCACCCCACATCCAAAGCTCTCCAGGATCTGCCAGTGGGCAAAGATTCCAAGCTTATCACCGTCAAGCTTGACTCCAGCGTCCCCTCTGATGCTGCAGAAGCCATTTCTACGCTCAAGAGCGAGCACGGCATTCAAGCCCTTGATATCGTCATCGCCAATGCGGGAATTGCAAACGAAGGCGGTCTAGTCCGTGACACAACCGTCGACAACATCAAGAAGCACTTTGAGGTCAACACCATCGGTCCTATTGTCCTCTTTCAAGCCGTAGCAGACCTCCTACAGGCTAGCAAGACCGGGAAGCCACTTTTTGTTGCTATTTCAACCCTCATCGGGTCCATCGGCTCTATGGAACACCTGGTAGCACTGCCGCCTACCAGCAGCCCTTATGGTGGCAGTAAGGCTGCTCTGAACTGGTTCATTCGGCGCCTTCACTTCGAAGAGCCTTGGCTTACTAGCTTCGTTATCCACCCTGGCCTGGTGGAGACCGAGATGGCTGTTGCGGCTTTTGGCACTGGAACCACCGAGAAGCTCTCCGTCTATGGATCTATCTCTGTCGAAACCAGCGTTACGTCGTTGGTCAATGTTATTGATAAGGCCGGCAAAGAACTCAGCGGAACCTTTCAGAATTATGATGGTACGGAAATCGCTTGGTAGACCAGTACCATGAACCTATAATCTTGCGCCGATAGTGGAGAAATGCAAGGAAACGTCGGTGGTCCAGGGTTAGCCTCCTGCCACATTGCAACTATTAAAGTAGCTTTTATAAAATAGACTTGCCTTGAATATCTCAAAGTTCACAAATACCAGACCCCCCTTCACAATCTACTAGCAATGTTTCTTGCTCCAGGTAGATATACCTAATAGCAAACTGGTAGGGATAGAAAGTTTAGCCTTTGCTTTTTGTACAATTACACAGTTGAAAGACCTTAGTTGGGGTGACTTGAGGGGAGTTCAAGTTGAACTGACCGTGACAACTTGCCATACTATTAATATTATTTTCACGATAAGCGGGTATACACCTTCACGAGACACTCAGCTATGGTATCAACACATGCTGTGCAACGCAAGGATCCAACTGATAGCATTTACATAGCCTATTATGAGCCTCGGAAGAGAAAATAGGGCAGCACTTTGTGTATGGGATATTTGGCACGTCACAAATAGAGGAGAGATTTTAAAAATATTGATACGCCTTATGGCTAGGATACCTGGCCAGCCAAAGCAGCCAGGATCGTGTGATTCTAATGCAGTTCTGAGTGGTTATGCTCTAACCACTACTGATTGATCAGCAACAGGTCAGTATTATTAAACGACCCGATGGGTGGCTTGTGAGCCGCCATATGCCTCTAAATTAGCCACACTAACCCCCCATTTTATTGAGGCCTGTTTGATTGGTCATATTGTCTTTTAATACTACTTCCACTTGTGTTTACTGATCGGTAGCGCCAGCCTTGCACCATAGTACCACCTAATCTCGCCATTACATAACACCCCCGTCTATTGGGAAAATACGTGGTTTGTCAGACACAATTGCTTCAAGAACCCAAAATGTTTCGGAATAGTAGGAAAGTGGTGAAGCTTTTCATTTTGTGCCTTATAGGTTTCCTGTAAAGCTGGAAGATGCTGCTTTTGTTCGCCACTTCTAGGTTCTTGCTGAAGGACGCTTGCCGAGGATAAGAGAATAGGACCTGGGCGGTGACAGGTCGGTCTATACGCTAGACTTCGTTTTAGTTTCTCTGCGATATTATTCTTTGGTGCGATTTAGACCAGCACTGTAAAGTACTTAATTAAACTAGTTCATAATCCACTTCTCGGTTCTGCAGACCGCAAGCCGGTTACTCTCTTTCGTTATAAGGCACAGAAGGCAGATATGCATGCTGGAAGCCACCATGTTGCTGCCCAGTGAGTATCATCTCTGTCACGGCAAGACTGATGTCCGATTATGGCCTCGTGATTAGTGATCAATTAACGACACGGAGACCATTACGTTCTATATATCAGGCCCTTTAGTGCACCCAACCACTCACCGAGGGCTCCTAAAAGTCTCTAGTAAGATCGGTCCTAGGGGTTCTGATAAGCTGACTGCCGCTTGCCCCCTACTAGACTGGTAAGATGCTCCTGAACTATGCAAATCATATATTAAGTGGTCGGCTTCTCTTGCAGTGCAGCCCCTTTTCAACCATTGGATATATGCCGTCGTCTTCTCACTTCCTTAAAGTCATTGATCTTCTTACTTTCCTGAATTCATTGGTCTTCTCCACTTATCACGCCTAAAACCTATAGCTCCTAAATTGCATATTTTGCGGACTAGGCCATATAATACCTTACATCCAAGTCTAATGATCTACTACCAAGGCTTTGGGGCCAATGTAACAATAGCTCGTATTTCGTCAATTAGTTAGCGCATATCTAGTAGCATACTTGACTTGCTATGAGTATTCGGTACCGTAGGGACGTTAGGTCAGGAGATTAAGTACGAGGTAGTTGAGGGCACAGTGTCGAGTGCCTGCTGAGAGCATAAGGAGAAATTAGTGCTGTTGCTGTGCGGCTCAATGCTGAGGGAATAAAACCTGCTAAAGATGTCATGCCTTGGCTTAATGATAGTTAGATAAAGGGATTATTGCAGGAAGTAGGTATATGTAGTATATAAAGGTTAATCTATAAAGCTACAAAAAGTTAAATTCAATCTGAGTGTCATAGCAGCCATATATCTATGTATTAAACCAGTCTTGTTCTCCCCCTATTTTCATACAATGCGATCCGGGGTGTTTAACGTTCGGAGCCTTTCCATGTCAATTTCTCCTTCCCTTTCGACGCTACAACTCTTAATTTTTCCCTTGCTTTTCTAGCAATACCTCCGATTGTGCCTCTCTCGCCTGTTCCTTGCTCAGATAGCTGGCTGTTTAGTCCCCTGCTCGCACTTCCATCAAGTACAGGGGTGGAATTACCAGACGGCAATATTGTTAGTGGTGTTGAACCGCTCCCTGGCACCGAAAAGTCTGTTTCTAGAACACTATCACTGTGGCTGGAAACTTGGGTAGTGTTTTCAAGCCCTGATTCTTGGCCCTCCAAAGTAGGAGGTAATCCCGGAGTTGAGGTCCATGTCAGAGGGCAAACAAGACTATGCCCAAATATCACTGCGCCGTCGCCCTGAATGTCTAGGGACGGGCTTCTTGCGTTAAGCCTGAATTTTCGACGTAGATGAAATGTCTTTTCAGGCAATAGGACCTGTACGCGGTCGCAACGACACTTGGCCCCAGGATTGCAAACATCAAAAAGGTGGTCGGGCTGATGCCAGTAATAATCTGTGAACAGCTTCCAGCACGGCTCACTCCCTAGGCCATACCCATTCGAGTTCATGATGTCCTTTATGACGGGTATAGTGGTTGCCAATAGGTCGCGTCCCAGTGGCATTTCACCCCATGCGGCACACGTTGAGCCCGCGTCCTTCGGCTTGATGATTTGGCCAAACCCTTTGCCAAAGAGGGTAACTGCATCAATCGCCCTCACTAGATCGACCCAACCGAACCCAGTATCCTGAAGAGTCTCTTCTTTAAGATAGATGGAACCAACTCCATCAACCACATCTGTGAAATCCCATCCCACAAGATGTCGTCGAAGCGACATCTTTATCTTCGCCTTGTATCCGTCCGTTGTCGACGCATCGGTCTGGATGTCGTGAAGCATTTGGAGAGTTTCGTACACCCTCCCTACCTCGTCTGCAAAATGATACCACTCGATCTGTCTCTTGATAGTTGTTTTGCCTGTTCCCTCTCCTCCCGGCGTGTCCCAGACGGTTTCTTCAATAGGCCTGTTCCACTTCTCGTATATCTTGAGGTCCATGTTTTTTTGACACCGGAGAACATTTCTCGCACTCATCTTTCCTTCGTACGGAGAATCTGCTTCAATGATATCGTCATCATTGAAGATCACTGTTTGATCATCTCTCTTCGTGACGCGATGGAAGCCCGAACAAGATGAAGCAGCACGCTGGATCCGTTGACAAGCCATGCCCGACGATCTTCGCAGTCAAATAGAACGAAATGTGTTCTTTCCATTTCCAATACTTGTCGATGATAGTCAGATGTGTTTCCCAGCCTCGCAGGTTTGTCCTTCTTGCCCACTGCCACAGAGACGCCTGCTGTGAGAATCTTGCCTCCTGATACAGAGAAGCGATCCAAAGCAAAAAAACGACCTGGCTCTCCTAGCTGTGTCTTTCTTACATGGGTGATATTTTTTGAACCTTTCGTTATATTAGCACCTCTCACAAGTCTTTCTATTCCGATATACAGAACATACCGGCGAAGTTCAAAGCATGTGCGCACCAGCCAACGACATGCCGAGCGTTGTTGATGCCTGTAGAAGTCAAATGTTTTGCAAGATTAAAATCATTGGCAATAGCTGGAACTCGCGGATCCGAAAATGAAAACCGGCTCCCGTCCTCGTTAAACAACACATGCCAATGTACTATTTCCTCGTCATACTCCGTCGGAACCAAGATTGTGCAAAACCCTTTCAGAAGGACTTTGCCACAAAAATTAGCTATCTGTTGTGTTCTCAATAGCGCAGAAAGAAGAGGGAGTGTGACTTCGAGTCCCGGCTTTGTATTTGACCCACGACGTCGGACGGGGAAACCATGAACAACCACGGGGTTTCTGAATAAATCCATCCAGCATTGGCCTTCGGGGCGTAAAGCATCATCTGAATATCTGATACTGAGATTAGCGACGGGTGCCATGCTCCGATTCCCAATGTCAATAGCGATCTTAGGCTCGGCGATGACAACCTTGTCAGCATGCGCTGATCGGAGCGCTGTGGTCAACCATCCATACAGCTCCCCTACTTCTGCAATTGCCTCAACAGTTCCCGAAACCTCCAACTTGAAGTTTCCTTGGAAGTCGAGCCATCCTGTGAGTTTTGTCTGGTCAAACAACGTGACTAAGGCCTGTTCAGTTTTTTGTAGAACGATAATGAGGGGAAAACGCATACCTGAGCACTTGGAGCCTGAGTTACTTCGCAGAACATGTTTTGTTAGGTGCAAGAAATCTTCACCGAAAAATTTCCAAGTACGAGTGACATAATCTGAGCATGTCAGAGCCTCTTGAACATTGTTTCCGTCTCGTACCAGTACGATTGATCCCGCGAGCGCGTCTTCAGCAATCTCGGTATATTCCTCTCTCGTGAAAAACAATAATGGTTTCCAATCTGACTCATATGTCATTGAACACCTTGGAGGACCTTTCAATCTGCTAATTGTACGGTTTTCCGTCCGGGCGTACAACGCGTCTCGGATCTTTGTGGAAATTGTTTTCATTGAACTAGCGTCAGAGGTCGTCATGTTGGCTTCCCGATGCAAACGAGAAATAAACCACTGGAACGCAGTCGACTTTTTGACTAATCCATGGTATTTCGAAGGTTCGAAGTGTGATGTATCGATATTTATGTCGTCATTAATTACTGGGTCATCGACATATGGTTCAGGGTTTGGATCTTCTTCGCAACTTTCTGCATCTTCTATCTGCCAACTGGCGACTTTATCGCCGAATGGCATAGCATCTGACTTTTGCTCAATATTATCACTGTCTCTCAGATAGTATCGTTCAAATTCTTGAGAAATATCCCTACAAGACGAGAATAAGTATATCAAACCAGAAAGGGGTCATAACTATTTGTGAGTACGTACTTTCGTTTCTGATGAAGGAACTTCATAATCTCAAAATGACCCAAGGTCTCCTGTTCCCCACCAATTCTCAAAGCGAAGCCGCGTAGTATATCTGGTAGACTCTTCAAAATTCTCTCCAAAGAGTCTGATTCTGGAATCTGGGAAGGTTCGAAGAAGCTGGCAGCAAGATCATACATATACTTTGACGACTCGGGAATATCAGAGGTGTAAATTGAAGTGTTGTCAGTGGCGTCTTGACTTTTCCCTTGCTCTCCCATATCAACAGATGTTGGGACAGTTGAGCCATTGTCAAATTCATGTCTACCTCCCGACTGTGCCATTTCATGCAAAGATATAGAGCTTTTTGGAGCTGTCATATCTGTTTCTGAAGTTACGGAGTGGCTGATCCACTTAGATGACGGCTCATCATCTGTGGGGGCGCCGGCTGAATTCTCTGCCTCTATATCTGACCCCGAAGCTACAGCATGCCGAATTGCTAGCATATTATCCTCGATCAGATTGACTAAATAGAAATGTCAGCGGATTCTCAACAGCTGCTTGCTACTGGTAGCCTACTTCCTGTCATAAGGTCTGCCAACCTGCGCTGATTCTCAATCGGCTGAGGAGAGATTTGCAGAAGAAGATCCCGCGTGTACACGGCTGCTGCCATTGCTGCATATGGTTGCCACTCTCGACTCTTATGGGAATCGCAATAGCTGCAAATACCGCAAATGAGACGAAAGGGCATTATAATTCCTGGTCCTGTTCCAGCTGCAAGACACAAAATATCCCTATCTTCAGTCGCTAATCGATTTCGGGCAATGGCGTTCTTCAAAATGCTATTCCCTAAGCCAATCGTGCCATAATGAATTTCTGATATATCATCCTCAGGGCGTCGGTCGCGACGCGATATGTAATTCGATGGATCGCTACTACAACCGTCCTCGTTACAGCATATGTCGTGCGTAGCATCGGGTTTGAATAACCTGTCAGTACTTGGACTTGGCCTTTGGTACCTAACACGCATCCGCGGATTCATGTCCAAAATGTCATGGATTCCTTCGTCAATATGGTTTCCGTTTCTCGCGTGGTAAGAAGCAAGACTGACTGCAGCGTTCAAACCAGGCAACGGTGGCGGGTGTATAGCTGATTCTCGTTCCACTTGAACTGTTCCACTAACAGTCTTTCGAAAATCGAGTTGTACTACGCCCGGCTTATTATTGCCATCGGTGCTCACCACAACATCGCCTAAGCGAATATCATGGTCTGGTCTTGGAACAGCTCCTCCAGTAGTGACCATCAAACACAGAATGATGTTAGGGAAGGATCTCAACATGTCGACAGTAAGCCTACCTAGGGAATCTAGTACTGACTCTGATGGCATGGTAATAACGACATTGAGATTCCCAATCCTTCCTGTTGTATAATGGCTGAGATCATGGCGGGAAAGGGGAAGAGGGTCGTGTTTCTGGTCCAGGATGCACAACACAGCGATGTATTCATTTTGTTGCCCACAGATCAAGCCGACTACGTAGTCTTCTGGATTTGGCATTTTGATGTGACAGGTGATTTTGAAGCTATGAAGGGAGTTGGCTGTTGTTTCTCTCCGGCGGCATTAAATTAATTTGCATACAAGCAGAAATAAAGTTGAGAGCCTGAGTGCTGTGTTTCTTAGAAATAAATCTGGTGGGCTGATGAAGATATATCTTTTATTAGAAGTAAATCTTTTGTAGGACCAGCTTTTAGGCTCGAATAGGATAGCTCAACGTGGCAAAGGAGGGAGCCAGGTGACGTGTCGTAAAGACTACATCTGTGCTGCTTATTGGCGCTTCTGGGATTCACCAGAGCGAATAGCATAGAGGCAATAGATATTTTCAACCTCCTTGTAAGTAAACATATTGCCCGATTTCTAAGAATCTATAAAAACACGTCTTTAAGATTATATTCTTAAGAAAAGGCCTATAATATAATTTATACTTAATTATATACTAGCTTTTAATAAATAACTGCAATCTAGCAGAAATAAAATAAAAATATTTTAGTATTTTCTAAAATAATATGTTTAGTAAAATAAAATCCTTATAGAAGGGCAAAGACTTGGCTTAGTTAGAGTTTCTAAGCCCATACTATAGATATCATAAATATACTTCAGGCCTAGGGGATAAAACGTGCTAAAGACAACATACTTTAACTCAAGGAACCTAATACATATATTAATGCTTCTTCTCGGAACAAGACCTTAATCCATTTTCTTTAAAGCTAAGCTATACGCGGTATTTATACCTATAGTGATTAACAATAAAGCACATCTGCGTCTCTCAAGAATATAACAGGAATACAGTTTATGCCCAGCCAATCCTATATATCGCCACCAATATAACAATGTTTCATGTTGCGGGGTAAGATATCTTGTGGCTCTTTGCAGGGGTGCCTAAGTGGATTTGGCCCCCAAGGCAGAAAACTGGATGACCTTGCGAGATTCTGCCTGGCATGGTTCTCATCTCTCATCTTTTCATTTCAATTTTAACTTGACGCAGCGACAATTTCGATGGGAGATATCATTTGCAGTTTCTTCAGCTGAAACTGAGATTCATCTTATTCCCGGGGTCGCACTAGAAATCATCAAGGTCGACTGTTGATGACCCCGACTGAAGGCCCCACAAACACCGCAACATGGCGATCCATAAGCTGACCCCGATCCTCATGACGGGAAGTCTATTCCTGGGACTTCTTCTTGCCATCGGCCATCATCTCTACTACCATTATCTCGACGGGAGGATTATCAAGAGTCAAAACCAACAGGAGTGGTTTCTCCGCGTCGGCACTGGTATAGCGTTCCTCGCAAGAGCCCTCTTGTCAGCAGCTGTCGGGTTCGCATACACGCAAATACTATGGCGTACCTTGAAATCAAAGTCTGTCACTATCGAGGGTGTTAACTCGCTTTTCGGCGTCTTGCATAATGCCTGGGACTTTACTGTTTGGGAGCTGTGGACGGCTGCGCCGGCGCTTGTTGTAGTGGCCATAATAGCTTGGTAGGTAAGAAGCTCGAATTATCTGCAGCTTACTGACATTTACTTGTAGGGCACTCCCGCTGATAGCAGTTATTACTCCAGCTACACTTACCGTCCAGGTATCTGACCGTCCAAACATCACGGTGGTCGACGCTCCCATTCCACTGCTCGATTATGACAACATGCTCAACTTTGCTCAATTCACGGGAGTAGGCGGAGTCGGATACTACGCTCCCTCGAGCTACGTCTCAAGGGTGCTCTTATCAGTCGCATCTCTCGGCTCCATCCTCACTATCCCAGCACCATTTCCTAACTCGTCATATTCCATCGACTTTTATGGCCCTTCGATTTCATGCAATAACCCCCGTAACGCGACCTTTGCAAAGCTCCTAGGTGATACTGTCAAGAACGAGACCTGCTGTGGCAATTCTGTTGGCTACGTTGGTTTTGTTCCGAGTAGCAACACAATCAACAGGACTGTGGAGGGCTATGCCTTGGCCGGTCTGCGTGGAGCAATGAACTATTCTCTCATCTCGACAGTTGCATCCATTGATCAGACGGCCAACGCCACAAGTTCGGCTAAGCTCTATGTTGTCGTACCCGATAAGCCCGCGTCAAGCAGTTACATCATGGCAAACAAGTCGATCGAATGCGCGCTCTATAACTCGTCGTATGCCGTCAACTTTACATTCGACAACGGCAGGCAGAACATTACATACAAGTCCAAAAGACTAAATGGAGTAACATCCACCGATGCCGGCCTCAACCAGGATACAGGCTCTAGTCAGTTCAATGCTGCTGTCGCTTATATCGCGCTCATGGACTCTCTGGGCAAGCTGCTACTTGGAAGTCTGGGCATCTCACACTATGGTGTTATGCGTGCGACTCAGACACAGATCATGAGCTCTATTCTCATGGATGCCAAAGAGATGCAGGTTCTTGGTGGTGTAAATGCGGCAACAGATCGGCCGGCAGCACCAGATTCTGTGATTGGGAATATCTCTATGGCTGATGCATTGGAGCAACTGTTTACCAATGCGACGATAAGCCTCTTCAGTAACTCCCAGCTACTGTAAGTGCGCGCATGTGCTTCTTGTGATCGGCGCTCTGTTAACAATTACAGGCAAAACGACACCACTGCATCTCGCGGTAACATTACCTACCTCACCACGCAAATCGCCTTCTCCTATGAGCCTCGCAACCTCTTCATCGCATACGGGCTAGGCGTACTGGCTTCTGCGATTATTGTCATCATCGGACTTCTATGTATCAAGTCTGCATCGGCATCCTATGCGACTACTTTCTCAACTATTCTGCGGACTACGAGAAACCCCGATATTGACACTATCGTCCCCGCAGCGGAAACATCTGGCGCAGAACCTTTGTCAAAACATCTTGGCGATACTCGTCTGGTACTCCGACGCCAGGAACGGAAGCTGGAGGGGATGGGTGAGGATATGGTGACGCTCTTTGCTGTGGACTCGATGCCGGATGAGAAGGGTAGGACAAAAGACCTTCCTTATGATTCGTCCCACCCGGGGGATAGAGGGCAACAATACTCTGACGTAAGTATCGAGCTTCTGAGCCATGTCGACCATTCGGTTACAGATGCAAGGACTGGAAATGGCGGTAGGAAGCCGTTTACTAGTGGAAATTGAGTAATAACAAGCATATTAGGTCGCAACGTCAGCATTTTCGGTAGCATCTTGAATGGCAAAGCAATATTAATTATATAGATATTCATGTCATGTCATTAAATCTCAACGCTTGCAAGTTGTTTTACAAAAAGCCTTGGTTATAATCTTGATTATAACCTTGGTTGAACCCAATCCCATCAGACAGCAAACCCATCTCTTGCGCAAAATACAAAGCTTGATCATTTTGAGCCCAACTCACTGCCCCTTGAAGGCGCTGCAGCAGATCCTCAGTTGTCTCCATACCCACTACCGACTCACTGAACTGTGACTGTTCAGACACAGGGGATGGCTCTTCTGTACTCTCCGGATATGTCTTCTGCGCTCGTTCCGCGACTTCATAGACTACGGGCGATTGGGGCCCTATGTCTATACCCATTTGCATGGCAAAACCCACGGATGGATCGTCTTCCATCCATCGTGAAAAGCTTTTTGCGTACGTTGCTGGGGACAGCGGTCGGGGGAGGGATATTTGTCGTGTCATTGGCATTGGCATTGGTGCGAATTGCGGTTGTCCTAGTAGCATGGGCATCAAGGATCGGTTCCTGTTGAAGAAACGTCTCAAAGCAGCTGGGAAGTCACTATCTTGAGCCAAGCGATCTTGACTTAGGCACACATCGATGGTCAAAGCTAGTCGGAGATATTGCGTTGGACTTCGGGCCAGGACATCAGCGTGATCGTTGGTAAGCATCATTTGTGACGGTTCCTCGCGATCACTACACTCCATAAAGTATCGAATCGTCTTGGAAATAGAATGAACGCCGTCGTACTTGGGGTGAAGCTCTCTGAAAACTTGGATGAGGACGTTGAGTCGCGATTGCTTAGAAGCAACTTCTGGACGGGCCCATATCTCGGTTGCGGAAGAGGCAGCGGACATCTTCATATCGACCATGTGCATCGCAAGCGGGAGAGCTGTGCATGCTACAGCGCTGCTGGGTAGCCAACGGGTGAGTCGGTGGGGATGTAGTCGGGCGAAACATTCTGCTATGCTTTTTGTGGCGTTTCGAAGATCTCTTCGGTTATTCTTGAGGAATTGGGTTTCGTGTGATGCGGTAGGAGTTTGGTTGACGAGACCTAGTATTAGACCGAGATGGAGTTCGTAATTGCAGAGGGCGACTTGGCTGGCGCTGGGGAGATGTCAGTGTATGTGTTGCAAGGGGCGATAGGGAGCCTTACTGGAAGTAGATCCAGACTAGGTTAGTGAACAACACTGCAGAGTCCTCGTATCCTCCTGAACTCAATGTCAAATCTTGAATGGCAAGCGGTGGTCTTGTAGCCACTGCCCAGTTCTTGAGTGACCTCTTGTGTTCCTGTACTTGTGCATACGCCGTCGAATGTGCTTCCGCATCTAGGATCGGCAACGTCTCGGTAGGATAAACTAGACCCAGGACGTCTGTGAGGGTGACACAAAGTTCTGTAAGGCGTTCTAATGTGAGGATGAGCTTGTGCTTTGTGGCAATGTTGTAGACTCGGGACGACTCAAGTTCATCGACGAGATCATCGTAACATAGTGGAGAGCAGTTGGCAAAGTCGAAATGGGCACTGGTAATCTGGATATTCCGTCGAACGCAGAGGGGCATGATTCGATCGCGTATAATACAGCACCACCAGATACGTTTAAGTATATTCCGCCTCTTGACATCCTGTTGTGATATGTGTAGTCCGTAGGAGGGAGAATCGTAACTATCGGCGTCGCATGACTTTGCGTGTTGAATCGCAATTCGGAGCCATCTACTGTTCGCCTTGCCAGGCCCAGAGCGGAAGGTTGGGCACCAGTAGGTCAAGAGGAGGGCAGACTGTGCGATGGAAATAGGATCGGGGTCGGTCGAGAAGTCGTATAGAAGCTA